ACACACACACACACACACACACTCACACAAACACACACAGACTCACAAACTCACAGACACACACACACACACACACACTCACACAAACACACACAGACTCACAAACTCACAGACACACACACACACACACACACTCACACAAACACACACAGACACACACACTCACACACACACACACACACACACACACACTCACCTGTCAGCGAGGCTTCAGTCCACTGAGAGCTCCTGTGTGTTGAAGGTCCCACCATAACGTGAAGATGACAGCATTCTTCAGCAATAACTTCAGTGAAGACCGCTGGAGGAAGGCAGCGTTGAAGAACGCTTTCTCTCTGCTCGGAAAGCAACGTTTCCAGCATTCAGCGGCTTTCTTTCTGCTGGCTGGATCCCTGAAAGATGCTGTTGAGGTACGTTTGCATCTGTTCAGTCTCTTCTCTGAACCCTTCATCTGTCATGAGCTCCTGAATCAAGACCATTGTGACTTTTATAGAAGGAAGGTATAATCATCAGAAACCTACTGTCTCTTTTGTCAAAGCGTATTTTGGTCAGTTGATGAGATTCTCATGAGACCTGTCGGTTTTACTCGCTCGATCAGGTTTGTATAGAGAAGATGCAGGACCTTCAGCTGGCTCTGGTGGTCTGTCGGCTGTACGAGTCTGAGTTCGAGATGTCCTGCAGCTACAAGCGAATCCTGCAGAGGCATGTGTTGGGTCAGGACCAGCAGATTGCGGCCCATCAGGACCCTTTCTTACGCAGCATGGCGTACTGGGTCTTAGATGACTACAGCAGGGCTTTGGACACACTGCTCGAGCCCAATGTAGACACGTCACATGAAGGTGAGAGATGAGACGGACGCTGAGGGGCTTTTCACGCTAGACATCAGAGTTTATTTCCAAGTCAGCTTTATTTCTACAGCGCTTTATACAATACAGATTGTGTCAAAGCAGCTTTACAGGGATAAACAGGAAAATAACAGAATCGATTAAGGAAACTCGTAGGGCTGCTCGATACATTTTGTTTTATTCATGGTCATGATTTCTGCCTCTCTCTTGATTTATTAAGCATAAATGTCTGCAGCCGGCTGGTTATTTTTCCTGAAAACGACCCGTTATCTTGCATTGCATTGCATTCTGTGTAAAAGCGGAAACCGAACTTATGCACCAAGGCACAGAATCAAAAAATTCTTTAAAATTCTTTAATTATGAAAACATTTCAATTTCAGCTGTACAGAAGACAATAGTGTCATTATTTAGATAAATTCAGATCAAATCAGTTCAATGTTGATTTAGATTTGGTTCAATAACAGTGTCAATGTTGTAAAATTAATCAATTATAAATCGGTTTCAGTTTCAGCTGTAAAGCAGCTCTATAGAAGACAATAGAGTCTTTATTCAGATCAATTCAGTTCAGTGTCAGCGCAGTTAAATCAATAATATTACTGAATATTAAGGGTCTTTTAGACCCCAACTTAGCAAACCAAAGGTGACCGTGGTAGAGATTTTTGTTTTCCTCCTCATGTGCTTCCAGAATTGAATGTTATTGATGTGAATCGATCTCTCTTTCAGGACGCGCCGGATCGTCTCCCTGTAGTCCTGATGTTTTTAACTTCTACACCTACCTCCGCACGCACCCGCTGCTGCTGCGCCGTCACTTCGGCTCCTCAGATAAAGCTAAAGTGGGTCTGACCGCTGAAGGCCGCGCCGTCGAGTCCATCAGCCTCACAGAGAGGAGGCTCTTCTTCACCGCCGCTTATGCACACTTACAGGCCGGCTGCCCCATGCTGGCTTTAGAGGTGCTCTCCAAAATGCCCAAAGTCGTGAAGCGCTCACAGGCACGAGAGAATTCGCCCGAGACGTCGAGCGAGCACAAAGTCCAGGCCTCGGCTCCGTGGCCGGTTCTCAACGGCTTGGAGTCGGTGTCTTGGTTCTCGTCTCCCAGAGAGGACAGCCAGTCGGACTCGGTGCTCAGTTTAGACTGGAGCCAGCCGTTTGTCACCCTGCAGGACGAGCCTCTGGAGCTCAAGTGGGACAGCGATAAAGACGACCCGGACGAGGAAGAATCAGGCCTGGCGATGAAGAGCATCCGTCCGGAGAAAGACGACGGCGCTCCGGAAGCGACATCCACCCCCAGGGGTCACGGGTCAGACGATTCGCCAGCGCTGACCGAGGACATCCTCGCCGCGCAGCTGAAGTTCAGCTCCTGTCTGAAGATCCTCACCACGGAGCTGCGGACGCTGTCCACGGGATACGAGCTGGACGGAGGGAAGCTGCGGCATCAGCTGTGTCACTGGCTGGAGCGAGCCGTGGCGGCGCTGCAGAGATGCTGCGGATACAACCCCTTCCTCCAGCACCTGCCCGAGGGCATCTCGGCCGACCTGAGCCAGGTGGAGGATCTGGAGGAGCGGGGCGCGGCGGAGCAGGCCCGAGAGCTGCAGCACCGACGCAGACTGTGGCTGAAGAGGAACCAGCCGCTGCTGCGCATCTTCCTCAGCTACTGCAGCCTACACGGCTCTCACGGAGGAGGACTGGCCTCCGTCAGGATGGAGCTCATTCTGCTGCTGCAGGAGTCCCAGCAGGTAACACGCTCGAGTTAGGCTTCAGATCTTAATATCAGGTGTAGAGACCGCTCTTCTGTTTGAATACTAAAGCCTAACACCGTGTCCTAACTACACGCGCCGCGACACGCGATAAAAGGTATCTTTTCCATGTTGATCTGAGTTTTTGTCCTAACTAGCTGCGACGGCGACACACGAAATTTCTAATTTGTGACCCTGGACTACAAAACCAGTCGTAAGGGTACATTTTTGGCAATTGAGATTTATGCATCATCTGAAAGATGAATAAATAAGCTTTCCATTGATGTATGGTTTGTTAGGATCGGACAATATTTGAAAATCTGGAATCTGAGGGTGCAAAAAAATCTAAATATTGAGAAAATCATCTTTAAAGTTGTCCAAATGAAGTTCTTAACAATGCATATTACTAATCAAACATTAAGTTTTGATATATTTACGGTAGGAAATGTACTAAATATCTTCATGGAACATGATCTTTACTTAATATCCTAATGATTTTTGGCATAAAAGAGAAATGTATAATTGTGACCCATACAATGTATTGTTGGCTATTGCTACAAATATCCCCCAGCGACTCAACACTGCTTCTGTGCTGCAGGCTCACATTTAGAAACGGTTTCTATTTCCGCGACATCGCGGCTGGAACAACAACATACAAACTATAGTACAGTAGATAATCTCAGGTGATTATGTGCTTTATTCAAAGTTAAACTAATATGAGTTTAAATATAATTTTGTGTGACCTTATAGCCAAACTGAAAGCAACAACATATAGTTTACCCCAGATCTTGAAAGTAAAGCAAAGATGTGCGTTAAAACTGTGAACTCACTGCGTGCGAACCAACGAGTGTATTCCATAACAAAGACGGTATCAGTCATGCAGTATGTACATTAAATGATGTTAAAAAGCTTTAATGTTGATGAATTAGATAATAAACGTATATCCCTTTCGTTGTGAGTGCAGTGCGCTTCCAGAGAGGCTCCGCCCACACACGCTTCTGATTGGCTGTGATATTTGATTGATTCTGTCGCGTCGCGTCTGGTGTGGACACACAAATTGCTTGTCGCTGGAATTTTGTCGCGTGTAGTTAGGACACGGTGTAAAGGCATTTTCACACTGAGCGCGATGTGAAAAAGCGAGGCGAATCACCGATGAACGGTGCTTTCACACCAAGCGCGACGCGATTGATCGCCTTCTGCTAATTCACGCCTGCACGCTAGGTGGCGCTGACCAACAATGCATTTTTCCTCCGTTATGTATCTCGTATATGGATTTAAACATCGTCCGCTGCTCAATATATAGCATTAAATTAACATAAATAAAGGTTTGGTTCTACACCAGAAACACAAACTATCTATAATGCTTACAATTTTAAAATATGCACCTGCTTATCATTTGTCATAAACATCCTTTATTGTTATGAAAATACCATGAGCTGCATAAAACATGCACAGAATATATCGTCACAATCATATGTGACCCGTGCTGGCAAGATGAGAGGGAATGCGCACGGGCTAATTTTGAGCTACAGGCAAAAAAAAGTGAAAAATGTTGATTTCCAGGTTTTCGCACAAATTAGTTCATTAAGCCCTCGTCTAGTGATCACAATGCTCCAAATAATAATTATAGATGTTTAATTACCTTAATTTATACGTTTTCTGAGAGGAGTACCTTTTCTCCGCTCGCATCTCACGCTGAATGTCATCTGATAGCACGTGATCCCGATACATTATACACAGAATTACAGTATTTAATTATTCACACACACATAATCGGTTATGTCTTAAGTGAACGTTTGGGGAAAAACATCTGATGTGTAACTTTATATTAGAGTGTAATTAGAGAACCTGTGCGTTTGGCTGTACGCATTCACATCAGAACTGAAGTATACTTTGGGCTTAACACTCAGCTTTAAAAGAATGTGTTCACCTGTTATCATCCGGTCATGAAATTAGTTAAAATTGGCCAAAACTAAGGGAGCATTGAGTGAAAACATTTTATGCATTTTGGCCGTGGCGTTTTGGGGGCCTAAAAACACACATTTTTGGAAAGGGGTTTCAAGTGAAAGTTTTTGAAAATAATATTGTTATCGTCTGTGTGTGTAAACTATAAAAATGCAAATTTGTGAAAATGGTGACATTGTGTGCATGCATATTAGTGGTCGACCGATATATCGGCCGATATTTGGCATTTTTCAAATATCGGCATCGGCCGATCAGTTTTTCTGTTTGGCCGATGCGTTCGAGAGGCAAACATTATAATACTTTCTCGTTTGCCATCAGCATTCAGCAAATGCGAATTTACATAATTTAAACAAATCTTTGAATGGCTAATGAAAATTTTATTTCACAAACCTTGCAAACTTAGTCGAATCCAGTTGTGAGATCTTGTGAAGTGTGCATGTGACCTGCATGATCGCGTGTTCTCTGCGTGACTTTCGGTCCGTGCAAATTGAATGCTTTAAACATTAAATTCGTGATTTCAAATTATGCTGCGCTTTATGCATTTGCCCGCTGTCATATTCATGTCATTTTCACTGTGTGCTGTATGTAAAATGAGTGTTACCTTGGCTTTATTTTAAAAAATAAATATGATTCCCAATGCACACAAACTTCCCAGAATGCTCTGTTGGTTACAGTTTACTTCCTTTTTAATTATATTTTTATTAAATATTTATTTTTTTGTGGAAAATACTTTGTCATCTAAATTATAAGTATGTTTATCCATTTTCTCCATTTTCAAATTATTTCAAATTTCTTAAATATTAATTAAAATAAATACAATCATATTGGTCACCCTGCTTTCCAAGATATCGGCAGCTGTCAAAAAAACAATATCGGTCGACCACTAATGCATATATAACATATTCAGTCTATAGGCATGCACAAGTTTCTTTTACAAGGTGATGTTGGCAGCTGCTGGCCTGGCATGCATAATACACCGCTTTTAGTTGTATTTGTGGACTTGAAACTTTCCAAAAGTGCAAAAGGAATACTTTTCTGTAGGGCTGCCCTCGACCAAAGATTTTTCTAAAGAGCACGATTATAAATTATAAATATAAATGCACGATTAATCGACCAATCACTTAAAATGAATGACTATTGGTCGACTAATCATGCATTTATATTAATAAACCATGTAATTCATAATAATGAGCCTTTAATTGCCTATAGCCTATCAGCGCTCAAGCGCACGCATAAAACTTCCAACAGCACACTGCAGAAGTAAGGCATCAGGGAAAAAACAGCAAGGCCGCCTTAACATTGTAATAATTAATTGATAAACTAGTGTTTTCTGTATTTTCGGCGGCAGTGATGAAGTCGACGACACTGACTCCACAGTGGACGTGCACGTTTCATACAGAGTACATAATCTGAAAATATTTGTTTTCCATTTGAATTGGTTCATTAAAAAAAAAGAAGATATTTCGCTTTCTATAGATGTGTTTTTCATGTCTGTGAGACAAGCACAGAGTTTCGGTTCGCTTAAGTTCACAGAGACCGAGACGGCAGAAAGCCCACCCTGTTTGCTCTCATTATTTTACAAAAGCACAACGTTCTGTTGTTATTGCGAGTGCACACAAATAAAAGTAGACCTTTTACAGATTCGAAAGATGGATTACTCTTATCTATAAGAGCAAAAATGACGGAGTATTTTAAGTTAATGCAAATGATCGGACCGAGTGAGCTCGCTAATATTCAGCTTCCACACTTGAACAGCGCACGTTTTTCTAGGTTAACTGTCAAACTTGCATGTTTCAGATGATAAGCCACATTTGAGGTCGATCAACGAAACGAACGTTTGCATGTCCTGACCGATGTATTAATTACCACACAGACCAGCTGTTAATGATCTGTCCGTCACGGACTACGTGACTTCGCCACTCCCTGTGGATTTTTTTTTCCCTGTGACTAATAAAAGTTTGATTGACTAAGCCTCTTCTTTTCGACTATTACGGGGTAGCCCTGCTTGTCTGTTTTGTAGTGCATCACTGTCATGTAAATATACCCATTGTGATGTTTTGTGTGGACGTTTCTGATCTGGTTTTGAATGCCAAGCTCAGGGTTTGCTCAGTTCCTGATGCTCTGAGGCTTCAAACACACACTCTCTCTCTCTCTCTCTCTCTCTCTCTCTTTCTCTCTCTCTCTCTCTCTCATGTTTTGTGTGGACGTTTGGACGTTTCTTTTGAATGCCGAGCTCAGGGTTTGCTCAGTTCCTGATGCTCTGAGGCTTCAAACACACACTCTCTCTCTCTCTCTCTCTCTCTCTCTCTCTCTTGCTCATTTTCTGTTGTTTCTGTCTCCTGGCAGCAGCTGTTGAGCTGATGTCTGGCGCTGTGCATTATTTAATTTGCCCGTGTGAATCATCATTGTGTTTCTCATCAGGACGACAGTCTGCAGATCTCTGCTCCCGCTCCGCAGCACCTGTCTGTTCCTCTTTTCCTGGCGTGGACCGCCAGCTCCAAAACAGTGGTGGCCAATCCCATAGTGCACCTGACCAACCTCACGCACGACATACTGCACACCATCAACGCTCTGGATGCGCCTCCGCACCCGGATGTCGTCAGCAACGAGGTGAAGTGCGGCTCATCAGAACGAGGTGTCGTTACTGTCGTGATTCGTCCTCTAACGCGTCTTCCTTCTGTCTCAGATCTACGTGATGCACACGCTGGCTGCTTCCCTCTCCGCCTGCATCTATCAGTGTCTCTGTGATGGACACCGCTACAGGTGAGTGTGTCTGTTAGCCTCACGATGACCCCGTGACCTCTGCCCTCATCACTGATTTGATTCTTTGTTACAGAACGTTTCTCTTCATTTGTTGATCTTGTAATCGTTCGGTCTGATAATGAGCGGATGACTCATGAATGTGACGCGTGGCTTTTCTAGAGACAGCAGATTCTGCTCAGATGAATGTGGCCTTTGTGTGGGTCCTTTTGCACATTCATACTCCGTCACGGCAGATTAAATGTGTTTATCAGCCCAAACGTGTTAGAACAGAAGCCTGGATTATTAAAGGGATATTGCGCCCAAAAATGAAAATCACCTCATGATTTACTCACCATCAAGCTATTCTAGGTGTGCATGACTTTCTTCTTTCAGACGAATCCAATCGGAGTTATATTAAAAAATGTCCTGGCTCTTCCAAGCTTTATAATGGCAGTGAATGGGTGTTATTTGTCAAATGTCCAAAAGAAGTCCAATAAAGTGCATCCATCCATCATTAAAAGTGCTCCACACGGCTCCGGGGGTGAATAAAGGCCTCCTGAAGCGAATCGATGCATTTGTGTAAGAAAAATATCCATATTTAAAACTTTATAAACCGTAATCTAATCTCTAGCTTCCGTTGACTGTCGTACGTGTGTTCATTCCGGCGGATGACGTAGGACGTAGCATAAGCTCCAGTGAGAATATGCTAGTCTCGCGAGAACTGACGTTTGTTTATAGGAGCAAAGGAAGCAAAGCTTCATTACTTTAGCAAAGGAAAACCATTCTCCTCTTGGCTTACACATTTAAATATGATAATAAATAGTTATTATTGTGTTTTATTTTAAATAATTATTTAAATATGAAATTATTATTTTTTTTAATTGGAATAATACTCTAAATATGAAAGTAAAATCTCCAGTAGAAACTTGATTCATTCAGATACGAAGCAAGTTTCACTGAGTCATTGACTTATTCGATTCGTTCAAACGCTGATTCATTCAGATATGAAGTAAGTTTCACTGAGTAATTGACTCATTCGATTCGTTCAAACGCTGATTCATTCAGATGTTTGCAGGTTTCACTGAGTCATTGACTCATTAGATTCGTTCAAACGCTGATTCATTCAGATACGAAGGAAGTTTCACTGAGTCATTGACTCATTCGATTCGTTCAAACGCTGATTCATTCAGATGTTTGCAGGTTTCACTGAGTCATTGACTCATTAGATTCGTTCAAACGCTGATTCATTCAGTAAGGAATCACCAGAGATGCTCAACAGTTCTGCTGTGGCTCTGATTGGAACTCTATTCATTTGTGACACTGAACAGAAACAGACAATATTGAGTCTAAAGCACAATATAAACGTCTTGTTTAGTGAACTATTGTATAAATCACTATCACATTTTGATAGTGCACACAGCTCTCTTGCTGGTGTGATACTGCTAAACTATATTATATGATATAAATATAACAGATTGATTTTAGGCTGATCAGTATCATGTAAGAAGACGGACAGGTCTGCGTTAAATGTTTTTTCCATAATTAATTGCACCAAATGAACATAGACCTAATTCTAATATGTGTGTTTTTCCTCAGCCATGTGAATCCGTTCACGGGCATCACCTACCAGAGCGTCCTGCTTACCCATCAGCCCCCGGTGAGGAGCGTCAGCATCGAGGAGGCCATCCTGCCCAACACCTCTCCTGCGCAGTGGCCTGGTAAAGCACCGTGACCTCTGACCTCTGACCCCTGAGCTCAGACTCCAGACTCACCTGTGTGTCTGTGCAGGTGTGAGCGTCCTGATGCGGCTGCTGAGCGCGTCCGGAGACGAGAGCCAGCCCGGTCTGCCTGTGCTCCTGTGTGAGATCCTGACCGCAGTCTTCCTCAGCCTCTTCGTCCACGGTCTGGCCACTCACTCCAGCCACGAGCTCTTCCGCATCGTCGCTCACCCGCTCAACAGCAGGCTGTGGGTGTCTGTGTTCGGCGGCGGCGCTCGTGTTCCTGTGCCGGAGAAGCCCAGCGCACACACAGGTTCTGCTCTCCTCATGCTGCTGTTCATCTGTCATCTCTCCTAATTAATCACGGCTTTATTTGTGCCAGAACAAGATGGATTCAGCATCTAGTGTAACGAGTCTCACCTCACAAGCCTTCATGAGGTCAAAGGGAAATATCTTGAATAAGTACAGCTGCAGAACTTTGGGAGATATCTCCAAAATTCTTGGTCAGGATTATGTCACAGTATCTCGGTATTATTTGAAATCAGCAACACGATCTGACAGCAGTGGTTAACCTTTGCTTCTTTAGCTAATATGTTGCTGGTATTTTTTAGACTGCTACATGTAATACACATTCAAACAAACTTCCATTCTCAAACTTTGCCGTCATCCGAACCCCTTTGAGCTGAAGTATTATCTTAAAGTTCCCCTGAGATTCTAAGTTAATATTTCAATAATTTAACAGAACATGTGCATGTTCACAGTTCTCACGGATAGTGATCACATTACATGCAGATAAACACATAAAATATTTCATCTTTTTTTTAACAGGTATTTTATATTGATTGTGTTTTTATTTTTAAATTATGTATTTCAATTTCGCATTTTTGTGATTCAATTCATTTTTAATAAGTGTTTTAAGATTTGTTTTTATTTTAAAATTAATTATTATTTAGCATTTTTATGATTTAATCCATTTTTAGCAAGTGTTACATTTTAATTTTGTTTTTATTTGAAAATGATTTACTTACTATTTTACATTTTAATGATTTAATAAATTTTTTAGTTAATGATTTTTTGTTTCTTTCTTTTTTTAAATCTAATATTTTTTATTTTAATTTGACATTTTTATTAATTATTAGCTTCTTCTCAATTCAAAAAACCCTGTCTGGGAAACCCTGAAACAAATGAATCTAAACAGTGATATGAGCTATTAAAGCGTTCTGTTGTGTTTGAGTGAATTTATGGCATCTTGCTCACTATTATCTGCTGTTTATTTGTGTGTTAGTGGAAGATGTGGAGCGGAAGCAGCGGCGTTCCCGGCTGAGCTCATCACGCAGTGACTCCAGAGACGTTCCCGACAGTCCCAGACCCGTGGTGATGGAGCCGGACACATCCATCTGTAAAGAGCGTTTCGTGCCGCCTGAGCTCAGCATCTGGGATTATTTCATTGCAAAGGTTTTCTTTAGTTCTTCAGCTCGCAGTAGTTTGATACTGTTGTGCTTGTGAACTCATGTGTGTGTCCTGCGTGAAGCCGTACCTGCCTCCGTCTGCCAGCCGAGTGGAGTACGACTCTGAGGAGAGCCAGGGCAGTGAGGACGAGGAGGATGATGACGAAGGAGATCCCAGCTCTCCGCTGGCAGAGCATTCCAGCAATAGCTCGTACAGGTGAGCCGTGAGCCGCGTGATGAGCTGCACCTGTGCTGTGATGATGATGATGATGATGATGATGTGTGATGGTGATGTTCCCTGCAGCTGGTGTCTGATGCGCTGGGCCATGGTGCAGATGGTTCTGTTCAACCTCAAGCCCTTCTCCCCAATGGCGGGTCACGACCTCTTAGGTAACGAGCCGTTACGGCTGCAGCACACGTATGATGTGTGTGTGTAAACACGTGAGTGTGTGTGTGTGTGTGTGTGTGTGTGTAACACGTGTGTGTGAGTGTGTGTGTCTGTGTCTGTGTCTGTGTCTGTGTCTGTGTGTGTGTGTGTGTGTAACACGTGTGTGTGTTTGTGTGTGAGAGAGTGAGTGAGTGTGTGTGTGTGTAACACGCGTGTGTGTGTGAGAGAGTTAGTGAGTGAGTGTGTGTGTGTGTAACACGTGTGTGTGTGTGTGTGTCAGATCTGCCCATGTGCTCGCCGCTCTGTCACGCCGCTCTCAAGACACTCCAGCGCTGGGAGCAGTTGCTGCTCAAGAGGTTGGAGATTTTTGGAGGTCCTCCGTCGAAGTTCATCTGCACTCAGCTTTTGGAGGACAGCGTGTCGTCGGGTCCGGCGCTGCTGCGGCACAAAGCCCTGTTTGAGCCCTCCAACACGCCCTTTAGGTACAGCATACATGACACAATGCAATTTTTTTTTTTAAAAAGCTTATGTAAGAATATTTTTTGTATAATTGTATCAATACTATTTTTTTTATTCATTTTACCTAAGCACCTAAATTTAAATTTTTGGAAAATAAAATAAATGTTATTTAATAATCAATTACTTATTCAGATTTATAAAAAAAAAAAATTTGAATCGCACGAAAGTCAGTTTTTATGTGAATTATGTTTCTACTCATTTGTTGGTGAACTATAAACTTTTAAACAATGACTGTAATAATTTCTTTTCAAGAGAGATTTATTCAAACATGCATTAAATAATGAAGACATCACTAGCAGGTTAATTAAAAGTATAATGAATATGTAATGCAGTGCTTATATTTATGAAATTAAATCGCTTTTCGCGATGTAAAATTTTGCCATGAAGTGTTTTCGAATTTTATCACGTTAATGTAAAAAGTTTTGTGTGATATAACTTGTGTTTGTTCGTTTGCTGGTTTTTATTGTATTTGTTTTTGCCATGAATATAGCCTTTGATGCTGACATGGCATTAAATAAATATATACTACACGATGCAAATCGTTGCAATGCAGCTTTACAGAAAATGAAAGTTTCTACATTATATTTAGCGATATTTAGTCATTTATAAAAATGCTGCTATCTAGAGGTTTTTTTCTCTTCTAGCTGACTAACGAGATATGCTCATTAACTGGCTTTTCTTCAATGACCTTTTTTTTCCCAAAACCACATTTTAAGCTGAAATTACCCTAATTTCAACAACAAAATGTACTAGAAACTTAATTCATAATTAAAATAGCGACACAAGAACTGTCTTATGTACAATTTAAATGTGTACATTTGCTTAATTAATTGATTATGAAATAACCTCTATTTTCAGTAAGTGCCTCCTGAACTGTCGCTAGTTTTGTGACGAGTGTGTTTCCGCTCTCAGGTCTCGCCGGCGTGCCGCTCTTCCCGTCAGACGGCTGTGGCAGTATCTGGTCAAACAGGAGGAGGTTCAGGAGATGTTCATACGCAACATCTTCACCAAGAAACGCGATCCGAACGAGGTACTTGTGTCTGTTCACCATCAGCTGCTCGTTTGCACGCCTCCTGATTGTGTTTTAACAGCCAGCCGCTCTGTCGAGTCATTAGTATGGTGTTGCACTTGTGTTATGTTTGTAATTAACCGTCTAATCGTGGCCTGTGATTGACCTGCATGTTTGAATCAGAAGGCTGACGGTGTGCCGCTGGACTCCACACACACCCAGGTATCTAACACAGCTTCTGCTCCTTCATCTTCATCATCATCATCCAGTCGTGAGGCTCTTTAAGATGCACGATTACCTGCAAATCAACATGAAATCACAGCTGACTGTAATTTATAATCCTGCTCTGGTTCACTTCTGCTTGTTGATGTAAAGCATGCACACTGAGCATTAGTGAATGACATTTATTCTCCTCAAGCACTGAGAGGCCTTTTAAAGAGTCCGCATCAGGGACGTAACGATTCACTCAACTCACGACGCCATACTGATTCACAATATGATATAATAAAAGAGCAGCGTTTATTCAAAATAGAAATCTTTTGTAACAATATACACTACCGGTCAAAAGTTTGGGGTCGGCAGATTTTTTTTTCTTTTTCTTTATTTGAAAGAAATGAATGCTTTTATTCAGCAAAGATGTGTTAAAATGATAAAAAGTGACAATAAAGACTTATATTTTGAATAAATGCTGTTTTTTAAAAGTTTTTATTAATCAAATAATCCTGGAAAAGTATCACAGGTTCCAAAAAAAACAGCAGGAGGCGCTCATGCAGCAGCAGATACAGCGTTTCCTTGGTTACCGCCGTTAACACAGCAGCTGCGCTTATAAACACTGCATTAATATGCATTACAGAGACCAGATGAGACGAAACACCATCTAAACTTTCCTGCAGACAAGTCAGTTCTCCTCAGAGACACATTCATATAAACCCCGACTGTATCGCCTTTCCTTTAACATCTCAACCCACATCAATCCTCACTTATCGATTTTCAACCGGTGCATCGTTGCATCCCTAGTCAGGATAAATGTCTGAATAATAAAGATGATAAGTGGTGAGTGTTTGTGCAGATCGAGGCCGACCTGGGGTTTCCTGGAGGAAAGGCTCGCATCATCCATAAGGAGTCTGACATCATCACGGCGTTCGCCATCAATAAGGTGCCGTGACGTGCTGCGGCTGTGCCTGCGTGTGATCTGTGACGCGCCGCATGTAAGCAGCCTCTCTCTGTCTTCCAGGCCAATCGCAACTGTTTAGTGATCGCCTCCAGCCACGACATCCAGGAGCTGGATGTGTCCTACATCCTCGCCTCGCAGATCCTGACCTGGGTCGATGACGAGAACGAGGCCGAGGTCAAAGGGTGAGCTCCGCATTC